ATCGATGAATGTCTCGAAACACATACTCCAAGTCATAGACAGTTGTGGGCAAGTCTTGCACTTCGTGTGAAAACTTCTTGAGCCGAACCGGTTGTATAATGGGTTCAGTGAGCGGTTGGGCGTCTTCTTCCTGGACAATGGTCTCCACGTCCGGTCCGTACACCTCTTCGGCGGTCGGGTAGTACTTCTTGTCCTCGTGTAAGACCACAGCCATCTCCGAGTCGTCGTCTTTGTTGTCTTCGATCATCATTTGGTCCTAAAATGAGTGCCAATTAAAAGACGGGAACCGATGTGTGGAACCATTACCTCATTGTGTCGGTCGTAGTCATCGCTGTTGCGGTCGTCGTCCTCGAAGTGCTGGTCGTCGTCGTCGTCGGACTCGATGTCTGGTCCGATATAATTGCCGAACTCGTCGTACAAATCGCCGTCCATTTTGTCACTGATTTTATTACTATTTAATTGTGATTTCAATTCAATTCACAATTTGTTTCACTTTTTAATCAAAATCTCATTTCAAAAAAAGCATTGAATTGTTTTGTATTGTTTACGAATAGGAGTCGTTCACAAACACTGTTATCGCAATAATTCATATAATAATGATTAAACCCTTCATTAAACTATAAACTGAATCAAGAAATTATTTGTAAATTGCAATTCATTTTATTAATTAAATTGTAATTTATAGACATTAATTATAATCAAACATTCATTGATTTTTATCCAAAATTAAACATTTATTTTTAAAGAATATAAAATACATCGAAATATTTTTAAAAATCAATTTCTATATAAATAAATTATAAACTTTATTGAATGCAATGTATATTAAATTGAATTAAATCTTAAGATTAAGTTTGAATACATGAATGAAACGATCGTCACTACAACTGGCAATATAGACATCAAGAGAATCGTCGGCTTTCTTCTCAGTTTTCGGTGAAAACTGAATCCGATTAACAGTTAATGTGTGACTAAAATGGGAAATAAATATACATTACTTAAACATTTTGGAAAATTATTAACCAAACTATTCGTACCAATCGTTGATATCAAGTAAATGAGACCAAAATGTTTGACTATTCCAGTAATAAAAGCTAATAAATCCGTTTTCGAGTCCAAACGCAACCAAATAGTTATCATTAACAGTGATGTCACAAATATCAACAGTTGTTATTGAATCCAATAGACTGAGAGGCGGGCCGATGGCTGTCACGGGTCCTAACGTTGACTTTTGAGCGCATTTATTGGTCAAATCAATTGTCCAAAACACTGCACTCTTATCTCTAGAAACGGTAACGAAGTGTTTGCAGTCGGGAGTGAGAGCGCAGTCCCATATAATACGAGAATGGATTCCATTCTTTTTGTCTGTAAATCCGATTCGACAATAATCTGATCCATTGTCCTGTCGTTGGAAGAGAGACCACGTTCTGTCTCTCGATGTACTCAATATATATCTGTCGTCAGACGAGAATCTGATTCGAGTGACAGTCAACTGATGGGAGGAAAGTCTCGACAATAGTTTAGCCTCTTTTACGTCCCACAGAATTATGTCCGCGTTTTCCGCTTTACTAGCCTTCGAAGCCGAAGCTATTAGTGTTCCGCTTCTATTAGAGGCCACACTAAACAATTCAAACACATGTCCGTATAGTTTGTGAATTTCGGGCCAAAGCGTGTTCTGGAGAAGTGACTCTTCAGTCGGCGGCACTTCTAATATCGTAGGCTTAAACTCGTGGTCCACTTGTTG